CCTGGCACTGGCCCCCTCCCTCCCCGGTCTCGTGTCTAGCTTAGCCTGGAGATCATCAGCAGAGCTGCTCTACACTTACATTTGTTATCAGTTCTGTAATTGTCAGTTTGGTGCCTCCTTCCTGCTTTGCAGGGCTGCCACCATCCTGGGCTCAGCCAAGGAGCACACTGTGGTATTTGTGGGTCCCTCAGAAGCCCTCACTCTGTCAGTGCCAAAGGGGGCAGCTCAGCTATGATTCTTATTTCTTTTTCCAGAGGGGTGCTTTTCCTTAGGAACAAAGGGGTGGAGTTTTTCCAACAGTTCAGCAAAACAAAAATTCCTTTAGGAAAATGTTAATAAGCATATATAATTTTATACTCAAGAGAAGAAAGAGGTGCAGGGCATTTTGTTTTCCTTTTCTTGTTTAACATCCTCATGTTTATGTTGTCATTAATTCCAAAGTCTTACTCTGAGTTTGATTCATCGCTACTGATGGGTCAGAAAGCATGCAAACTTCCCCCTGTTCCCACAGCAGGGCTCATTGCCACCAACTCTCCCCAACAGATTTACAGGCCACAAGTGTCAGCTTGACTGCATCCACCTCATGCAATCCTCCCCACATCCCATTGGGCCAAAAGGATGTGAGAGCTTCAGAGAGCAGGACTCAAAGGTACTGCCCAGTTTTGAATGCCATGGTCCCTGTTGTTTCCAGCCAAGCACAGCATTTGAGATTTCGTGAGATTCCTCCCCCATGATCGAGTAGAGTAGAGGAGATCCAGTCTCACAACATTTCTGCTTGGTCCATTAGATAAAGCAAATATAGCAACAGAACTAATAATGACCTGAGAAGAAAGAAGTGAAGGGACAGCTAAGGAAGAAGAATAAAGAAAGAATGATTTGCAAGGAAAAGAAAAAGAGAGAAATGTCATGGAAACATTAATTATTATTCACAATAATACTTAACATTTTGATAGAATTTTCTGTTCAGAATCTCAAAGCACTGAGCCGGTGCTAATTAATTCAGCTGTGCAATCCCCCTGTGAACTAGAAACTGTTGTTATTCCCATTTTACCGAGTGTTGGAACTGAGGTGTGTGGGGAAATTGGACTTGACAAAGGTTTTCTAGACCTGCAAGGAGAGCTAGGGGGTTTGAGGTCCCAGATACCTCAATCATCAAGCAACAGTAATGCTCTTTCTTTCCTGGACAGAAAAGTGCATTGGGAATGAGAAATAATAAAGAGAGGGATAGAAATTGTATGGAAAGAGGGTATGAGAAAGAAATGTGAGAAAGGTAAGAGACAGCAGAACAGAGAAGTGGTTTGTGTTACAAACTTCACTGGATTTTGCATAATGATTTCTTCCTCCAATCCTTTTTCATTTTTTCCCGTAACATTTTTTAAAGGAAAATAATTAAAAACCCCCCACCTATAACAAAGCAGCTGTTGGCCTGTTGGGGAAAGGGTCCTTACAAGGTTTGGCTGTTCCCTCAGGTTCTGGATTTGTGCTGTGCTTTATTGAACACATTGTTTTGTTTTCAGTGAGCACAACGAGACTTGCACAGTACACACAGCGTGTTCCTTATCTACAGGATGAGACGAGGCTGTTTTAATAACTACCATGATGAAGATGGAGATGAACTTATATACAAGAGGAATTGCCTTCACATTACACACATTATCTTCCTACAAAGCAGCAATTGTTTTTTGCAAATAACATAATATTAAATAATTGGTAGAATTTCTGCGTTTCCTGCATAGTCCAGTCTAATGGAATCTAGATGAATATTGATGGTTTTCTTCTGCATAATATCACCACATAAATCCCCATGTCAGCTACTAGACTTGGGCTATAATACTGCTTTACAATGCATCCACCGACTGTAAATCAAAACAACCAACACAAGAAACTCTTTGGCAAATGTAATTCAGTACATTCGCGTGAGGGTCTACAGATGGTGGTGGAAGAGGATTAGACTGCCCAGTCCTTTGCGTAATTTTGCTTTCCTTTGAATTTTCCTGGTCAAACTACATGCTGTACTTATGAACTTTCCAGACGAATCCCATGCCTAGTGGAAATCCTCTTTTACCAGTGGATCTAAGCCAACAATAGATTTGGCCCCCCAAGGATCAAATCAAGTCAGCCATGATTGAGACAACTAAATCCTGCTTTCAGACTAGCTCATGTCCTCAAGTTTAGTGAAACACCATTATAAAAATAAGCATTTCTGAGCTTCTGACTTCTTTTGACCTGAACCCTGAGCTGCAGGTGGCCAAGTGTGAGGTGTGACAGTCTTCTTTTCTCTAGCTTCCTCAGGAGCTTCTCTTTGCTTGTCCTGGGATTTCTTGCCTCTGCACTGACTACCTGCTGAGTGAATCTGGGTGGTGCATAAATAGAGCAGAGTTTGTACTGAGAGACTAAAAGAGAGACCATTCTAACAGGGTTCAGCATCTACCTGGTGTCTGTGAAGGGAAACAGAAGGAGTGGTGAAAGGATATTTTTAGAAATTGAACAGAATTTTCTTCTCACAGAGTAAGATCAGGCAACAGGCCAAATTCTGGTCTTGGTGACAGTGTAACAACTCTGTTATTTGCAGCAGGTTACTCAGAGGTAAGATGTGCAGAATGACACTTTTAATAGATCAGGAGTAACCTCTTTGATTTTATTCTGTACAGGAACAGATTTTAGCTCTATATCTTCTATGTAAATGTCCCCCCAAATACCCTTATGATTTGGGCACCCCATAAAAGAAGACACAGACCTATAATCAGCTAAAGCCATGCAAAGGCTGAAAAAGTTAGGTGAAAGGGGCCTTTGGGATCAACACAGCTGTTTACTGATGGTGGATTTCATACATACAAGTTAAACTTGGAGACAGAATACCAAGTCCACTACCACATCTCCTCAGAGGCTTGGAACTTTAGATTTTATACATGATGTTGGCTGTACAGATTGCTCCACTGTTCACTTTTATGGCCTTCAGGGGTTTTATTCTCAATCCTGTCTTTGTCCATGGACAATAGCCCACAAGTTTTATCTGAAACCTCTCTAAAACAACAAGGATCTACTTTGGCAGACTTGGTGCCCTGGGGACAGGCTATAGCTGCCTTCATGTTTTCTTTGAGTAATTTTGAGGAAGTGTCAGTGCAAGGAACAGTTTATGAGTTTGCTGACAACACAGGAGTAATAAGCATTTCTATTGACAGTTAGCCTTTTGCAGAACAGTGTTTGTCCATCACTTGGGAACCAAAATGAGCAGAGAATCCCTAGAGAATCATCAGGTGAGCATTTGGGATAAGGGGTAAATATTAGGGTGCACAATACAGGATTGAAGATGAAAAGATGGGGCTGTATATTGGGTCTGGCTGGTAGGATGCAAGCATATGGATTTGAATGGGGCCCTTATAAATTAGTAGGTGTATGAGCAGATGGGTAGGGAATCAAAGGGGGGCCCATATAGCAGGGCTATAATGGTTAGGAAATCAGGTGTTGGGCACAGATAATGAAGTGGTTGTCACCAGCAGTGGAGATCTGGAGAATGGGTGTTGGACATATCTAAAATTGCAAAAGTTGGGATGTGGGTGAACTGAAGTCGTCACAGGTACAGAGTTTAAGGTAAAAGGACTGAAGGCTAAGGACTAGGGAACCAAGCAATTATCCCAGCCAATCCTGAATTTGTCCATCTCAGTCTCAGCTGTCCAGAGGGCAATCAGATGGGCCCACATGAAGCCCCACACTTTCCACCACACGGCGCAGTGAGAGCGCAGCTGGGCTTGTTTTCTTTGTTTGCCAACCAGTGACATGGAAAACTTTTGTTGCCTCAGAGTGCTTTTTTTTTGTCGACTGATGTATTTGGTAACTTTGTCAGATGTGACTTGTCCACACTGCTCCCCAGAGACAGGATTTGGGAAAGGAGGGGGAGGAGGAGGCGACCGGGTGGAGCTGGCATCCAATCCTCTCCAATACCATCATCCCATTGTAGTGCAAAACAGAAAGGAAACAAAACCCTAGAGTGAAAGAGGAGCATCAAACGTCAGAGGAACTCGTCTGCCATTCAGGTGGTGGGGAGAGATGGGACTTGGAGTTTTATTTTTGTAGGGTTTTTTAATTATTATTTTGGTTTTTTTGTTGGTTTTGTTTGCTTGGGTTTTTTAGAAAATCGGGGATTTTTTTGTTCCTTTTTACAGACCTTCATGACAAAGCATAAAAACACAGTTATATTTATATATCTATTTATATATTTCTTCATTTCGTCGGTTTGTTTGTAAATGTTGCTCCATCCTCCTGTCTGAGCTGATTGTGTGTCACAGAAATTGTAGGTGTATGTGTGAGGTTCCTCCCGACTCTGGCCTGCAAAGTCACCACCCATGAGGTGCAGCCAACTCTGGGGGAATCCATGCTGGAAAGTGGGGATGAGGTGCACAGAGAACCCCTAATGGGGTGCAGATCTTTACTTGGTCCTTTCTTCGTTGCCAGATGGGCCAGGTCTCTGTGCTGCCTTCTCTGCTCTAGCCAGACCGTTCCCTCTGTCCTGGGAAACAGGGTGAGCATCACAGGTTACACACACTCAAGAGTCCACCACAGAAGAGCATATCTTTGGGGAACAGTGTTTCACGAGCGGCATTCTCCCCTGTTTCCCTGGCCCTTACCGCTCCCAGAAAGGGGTCCTGTAAGGCAATGGTTGCCAGCTGCATTGCTTCCCAGCCCCCTGGAGTCCTGGAAGCCGAGAGGGCTTTGCATGGCAGAGGTGTTGGAGGGCTCCTGCAGGGGAAGCCACTTGGCCACAGGTTGTTCCTGGCGTGGGGGCAGCGGTCGGGGCGGAGGGCAGGGGGAACCAGGGGGTCTCAGTCTCACGTGGCGAGCGCTTGGACCGGTGCCTTGGTGGCGAAGAGGAAGGAACTGGACTGTGGGGAGGAACGGAGAAGGTCTCTTCACCCTTCCCAGGGATGGAGGGAGGTGGTCAGACAGGTACAATGTGGAGGCCTAAGCTGTCGCCCTGCAGTTTCATGTGGTTTCCGTGGTAACTAGTGGCGGTCATAGGCAGCGGCAGCAGTGGGAGGTGCGGAGCCCCGGGATGTGGCACTATAATAATAAGGGGAACCTGAAAGTTAACACAGGAGAAGAATGGACTGGTTGAAAGGACAAACAGTAAACAAAAAAACAAACAAACAAAAAAAACCAAAACAAAAAACAGAAACAGTCAAACTAAGAAAAGAAATAAAGGACAACTGAAAACAAAAAGAAAGGTAGAAAGAAAGAAAAGCAAAAGAACCAAAAGAAGAACTTGGAGACTGAGCTCCTAATGGGATTAGGGAAAGGCAATCAGTGGAAGCCAACTGAGGGGCACCCTTCAGTCAATAGATGCTACTGTGGCCTCTGGATAGGACACCCCTCTACAGGAAGGAGATCCTTTTGCATCCTCTGACAACCGCTAAGTAAGCCCATGAGCATTTGTGCAGGTTTTGGCTGAGATAGAGTTAGTTTACTTGACAGTGGCTGGTAAGGGGCTGTGTTTTGGATTTGTGCTGAGCACAGGGCTGATAATGCAGAGGTTTTTTTGTTACTGCTGAGCAGGGCTTACACAAAGCCAAGGGTTTTTTGCTTCTCATACTGCCATGCCAGTGAGGAGCCTGGGAGTACGTGGGAGGCTGGGAGGAGACACAGCCAGGACAGATGACCTGATCTGGCCAAAGGGATATTCCAGACCAGGTAACATCATGGTCACTGTATGAAGGGGGGAAGGAAGGAGGAAGGGGAGATGTCTGGAGTGACACTGTTTATCTTCCCAAGTAATCATTATGCATAACAGGGCTCTGCTCTCCTGGAGATGGCTGAACACCTGCCTGCCCATGGGAAGGAGTGAATTAATTCCTTGTTTTGCTTTACTTGTGTGTGTGGCTTTTGATTTCCCTATTAAACTGTCTTTACCTCAGCTGAGGAGTTTTCTCTTCCTGATCCTCCTGGTGGGGGAATGAACGAGTGGCTGCATGGGGCTTGGCTAATGCCTGCGGCAAAACCACAACAAACATTGCAGCACAAATACGCCACACCTGATCCATAGCCACAAAGAAAGTGTCAGGGCCAGATGTTCTGAGTGTACCTGACAAAGTGTAATGGGTCACTTTAAAACCAGGAGGGGAGAAATGAAACAAAATTACAGTGCTTTACTACTTGGGATTTGGGTCACATTTGGCATGAAAGCTCTTTAGATTGTTATCGAATGTGTGTTAAATAGTGATTGATTATTAAGGTCACATTTACTGAAGTTTAACAGCGCTGGAATAAAATGTGCATCTATTATCCAGTTGTTAAACCTCAGTAAATATATAGGTAATAATCGTAACTGATTTATTTTACATATAATAAATCTCTTCCTATTCCCCTGCAAAGAAATGTTATATTAGAAGCTAAAGTCTCATAGGAGTTTTTTTCCCCCTCTGGAACAAACCCTGACTATTTCTGAGCATATCAGTGACTGGAGAAGGATATATATCCCTGCAAGAGAACTCTACTGGATATTATAAATCTTGTGATGCAGCCTGTGTCCCACTCTAGACATTAGTCCAACTGGTCCAGTAGGAAGAAATTCGATGGGAGAGGAGAGAAACTTATCTGAATTTTTAACCAGGCCTTGAAAGTATGCTGGTTGTGGCCTAGGAGTAGCAGAACCTAAATTTAACTTTTGATATAATCTGGAATAAATTGTGGATGCAGTCCGTGGAGAAGCCACAGCTGAACTGGAGTTCTGAACTGTCTCATGAAAGAGGAATTGGCTTCAGAACTGATACAAAACATGCATGAGGTATATACCCATTTCAAACTGAACTGGAGAGTGAGGAAAAAAGCCTCTCACCTGCCCAAATACTTGAAAACCCTCTTCAGAAACGAACAAAAAAACAAAGAAAAGAAAACAGAGACAAACAGAAGGAGCGCGAGGCTGGGGGTGTGCTGTGGGAAACAGGTACTCACTTAGTAATGCAGGGTTGCTGAACCGCCAGGCCTCATTGTAGGTCGTGTACTGAGGGTGGCTGTAGGGGTTCCCTGAGAACTCGCTCCCTGCAACAAACCAAGGAAGGTGTGAAATGCAGTTTGGAACAAAGATTTACATCCACTATTCCATCAGACCAGTGTTCATGCTGAATCTGTTTCCCAGCAGGAAAACTGGTGTATGTAGCTTCCTTGTCTAACTGGAACCTTCCCTTCAAGTCACTTCAGTGCCTGTTCAGTGCAAAGTTGCTTACCCATACCATTAAGCATCACAAAACTGACTTCTTCACAATCAAGAAATCAGTTCAAATTCAATAATACAAATAAATTATTAAAGTGGGGGTTTTTTGTTTCCTTTTTTTTCCCCATTGCCTTCTGTCTTCCAATTCTCAAGCTGCAGTAGGACTGCATACACAAGCTTTTATGCACTTAATTATCAGCTTTCTTATGAATAACATTGAAGGTTCTCCAGTAGTGTTGAGACAGCAGGCATGGAAGGTTGATGGGACAAGCTCACAAGAAACTTTGGAATTAGTAGTGCTATTGATGGCAATATGTACTGCTAAGTTTTTTTATTAGGGTACTGAGGGTGATAGTATATTTGTGGAGAAGAATATCATTCATTTTAGGAAATGTTCTGAGTTAGCTGTGCTTAAATGCAAAACAAAATGGAAAATACATTAATTACTTTCTTTCTTACTCTGGATGATGGTATTAGAAAAGTGATTCATACATGATTAACCTCTCTTTTATGCTTAGTCAGTTACAGAGAAAACTTGCTGCATTTAACTCTGGAAAATATTTTTCTAATGATTAGCACTTTAGGTACTGTGTTGAATCTGAAAGACAAGTTGTGCTTCAGGTCCCCCTTTCACATTAGGAAAATGGGCCCAAACCAAAATAGTTCCAAGCTTTGTGATCTAGTAAGACTCTGAACCAAGATCTGAATGGTGCAGAGTCTTCTAAAACATTCAGTTTCATTGTGCAGAAGGAGCTGAGTCTCCCTGTTTCTTAGAAGGCTGTGCAGGGTATTTGAACTGGTAGCTGAAGGGGTATGGTGCTGCATTCAAAATAAACAAATCTCCCCAAACTTAAACATGTATCATTCTATTATGGAAAATCACGGCATGATCTGATCATAAGCTCAATTTAATGTAATAACAACAGGCTGTGGACAATCAACCCCATCTGAAAGGCCTTATGTGCTTAAAAGGCAGTGGAAGAATAGTGTTGATATTAGCTTCTGGTCTGCCCGAAGGCAGAGGTGGAATTGTTACAACAGAAGTGTTTGAAAAGCACCTGGCAGTTCCTGCTAGATACCATGGAACAGGAAAAGAAAGTAATGCAAGATGGGATGTATGCCTGTGATACAATTACCAAAGAATGTCAATTAATTATGGCATAATCTCTGCAAATCTCCTCTCACTGAAGTGTAAAAGCCAAAACCACAGTTTCTCAGATGATGGAAATGAAGTCTGTTCAAGTTAGGGGATTTGTACTGCTTTAAACTTGAGGAGAATCTTTCCAGCAAGGTTTTAGTGGTGCTCAGGGTGACAACCAAAGTAGTCAGGGCAAAAATGAGTATGAATCAAACCCAATACTCATCCAAAGGTATTTCAGTATAGTACCTTTTAGTTTCAGCCTAAAACCTTGTTTTGTGTGAGAGATCTTCCTAACTACTGTTTTAATTATAATAACTCAGCGTAATTCCATAGCTAGAAACACCCTGCATGGAAAATCTGACAACTAGTGGGAAGGAATATGTGAAACCTGCAAAGATGACCATGCAATATACAGTCCATATTTTTCTCTACTGAATTTACTTATCTGTGGCATATACTGGAATGAGTTTGCTTCCCAAAAAAGGAAAAAAAACCTACCCTCATGACAATTTCTGCTTTTGAAGTGCTTCATATGATATAACTTCACTGTATGGGGAGAAATTGTTCTGATATTTCAAGACTTTTCTCTCGCTCCCTGCTATAAACTGTTTATAGTGTTGCTAAAGCACGGGTTAAGCACAGGAGAAAGAGCCACAGCTATGGAGCGTGGGGAGGAGGGAGGGCAGCCACTGGAAACAGTGTTTATTGACGAGGAGTGAAAGCATGCATGCAGCAGGATAATGAGCTTTTGAGCTCAACTGTGACCAAGAGGAACTGAGCTATCGCCTTCCCCGATCACTAATGAAACAAGTGTAATTTCCTCATCAACATTGGATTCTGTTTAACGACTCCCTGCCGCTGCTGTCCCCAGCCCTCTGCAGGCTCCGCACTGCTCTGTGTAAACTTCAGTTCCTCCAGTGGATGCTCACTTCACTAAAACAGTTTGCAGAATCTTGACATCCTTTCTGGGAAAGAGGAAGAATTGAGACAGGGATCAAAGGTATTCTGTTACCTTTATAGGAAACTTCTCTGAGATATGTAGGTTAAATGTAGCCCAACACCTGATTCATCTTCCTGTGAGTGTGCTCAGGACTACTGGCTTTTGTCCATATTTACAGCCCAGGACCTGAAGTTACAGGAAGGGCAAGTGCAGGAATGTGTATCTTGTCATGTCATCTGCATAAACCTCAGAGACATTTGCATTTGCTGGCCATGGTGCATGAGTGCAGTGTTACAGGAGAGAAGCTTTTCTCTAGACTGTGTGAGTAGAAGTCTAGTGAAAGGTTGTCATGGGTAGAACATAGCAGCTTTGATTAGCATTGGTTAAACAATCTTCTCAGAAACAGTGTTCCACTGGAAAATGCTGTCTCATTGAAATGGAAATGTTTTGCTCGAACTTGTCAGCTTCAATAGAGTTTTGGAAAGAAAAGTTCTGAAGTTATTGCAAATTGAAACAAAGTATTATGTTTCAACTTTCTTGTTTTGTTTCATTTTGCCTTTCTCATTTCATTTAATTTCCTTTCAATTCTTTCATTGTTTTAATATATCTTGACATCTAGAACATATCGATGTTATTGAAATGTTTCATCCTGATGTTTGCAAACTGTAGTGTTGCAAGGTTCTGACTTCTCATACCAATGAAAGATGAAAACTAATATCAAAGAATCAGAATTTTGTATGGGTTAGAAATCTGGTTTCTGAACAGTTGTGTGTTTAGCTCTGCACCTTCGTTTAGAGAAGACAGTGACTCCCATGTTTTCTCACATCTGAACAATAGGGTTTGTTTGCATGTTAGTGTGTTTCTTAAAGACACTTGCAGAGTAGTCTTCTTGCCAGCTTCTTGTTTCCAGTGTAGTTGAAAGCACTGGCCCCTGAACTTTCTTGGCCTGAGGGCACATAACAAACCATTGGTGCCATTGTATTGGATTGTTCAAACTGGACTCCTAACAGAGGTTGGAAGTCAGCACAGAGGATTGATCTCAAGAGGCCTATATTCAGTGCAATCTGTGCTCAGGGAATCTTTACTAACACTATTTCTCAGCATCTGTATTTAAATCTTATTGGATTAGTCCTCTAATACAGAAATGATGAGGCATGAAGTGAGCCTAGCAGGTGGCAGGTTCAGAACAAATAAGGGATATAGTTTTCACAAAATATGTAGTTTAGCTACAGAAGTTCTTGCAAAAGGTTTATTTGCATGTTAAAGGCTTATATGATTTCAGGAGACATGTTTTACATTTGTAGAGGGAAAACCTATCAAGGGTTTAATATTTAATAGAAAGATACTAAGTCTGGCTTAGAAAGTCTCTTAGGCGCAATGTGGAGGCTGGGAGATCTTTTGAGAAAATACTAATACATGCTTGCTCTAACATCCTTCCTCATATTTCCCCTGTTGTCCCCTGACAGAAAGTAGTGGCTGCAGAGATCTGCAGAGCGACCCATTAAAGCAAAGTCTTCTGTTTCTTCCCAGGAAGCCTCTTTATCTCCATCTTGTTGGCTTCAGTCACACTAGAAAACAGGAAGAAAAGGGCTTCCTGGCTGGGTCTGACCAGTGGGGTATGACTGAAACAGCCAGAACCTGATGCTCTGTTGAAAGATGCAGTAACTACTGCAGGATGCCCAAGCAGGCCCCTGGAAAAACTCCCTCTGGTCGAATGCTGACATCAAATTTTATGTGAAGATATCCATTTGACCAGAATAGTTTTTTAACTTTGAAGTATAACTTAATTTTTTTCTGCATAATTCAACTCAGTTGAATTTTCAATTTTCAACTCAGGCCTTTGTATGTATGATTTGTCATTTAAAGATGTTAAGACTTTGACCTGAAAACATTTCCTCACAGTTACATTTTCACTGTTCTCACTGAAGTTAATGTTCATTTAGCTGTCTATTCCAAGATCTGGATGAGGCTAAGTTAGACTTTCTACTCATAAGTCCTGGAAAATCATATGATAGTAACTCAAGAATTTTCTGTTCTCAACTTTTTGCTGCTTCGGTTCTGGACTAATATCTCTTTAGAAGCAGAGGTTGCAGAATGAGCTATGTAGCTGCCCCTTAATCATCACAACTCACAACCATGGGCCATAAAAAGCAGAAATCAGTGGTAGATGAGTTTTGAGTTCTGAGCTATCATGTCTGAGAAAAGAAAATCCTACCTATTCGTTTATCTACTGGGGACAACTGTCATCAGAGGAGAGCGGGTAATAGAGCCTGAGGTAATAAACTCTTCAATTGTCCTAGAGTAAATGGTCCTCTCTTCTTCCAGAAGAGTGGGAGAATACATATGTTGAGATAAGGTATTTATCTAAAGCATTGTGTATCAAAGAAATAGTTTGTCTTTTGATGTAGGATTAGGTTGATAGTTTCTTGAATTGGAGGCACTGTTTTACAAACAGGGGATGGTTAAGTAGTTAGTTGTTAAAGAGTGAATAGTTAGTTTCTTGTGAAATGCTGTTAATAATTTCTGAGTTCTTAGTAAGTTTAGGCTATATAGACGGTAGATGTTCGAATACTGCAGTTATTAAATTGCCATTGATAATTTTCAGCTTGATGACATGGCTTTAGACAGAAGGTGAGTTGTCACCCATAGTTAGTGGATAGGCGAGTGTCTTGAGCCATGAGCAGTACATAATAATCTGCATGGGTCATTGGAAAATAATTACGTTAGTTAATGAATACTAGGGTTAATTAATTACCAATTAATTGCCACAGGTTATAGCTAGCTAGCTGCCCATAGCAGCAGTGAATCAGTTACTAGAGGGAAAGAGACACATTACAAAAAGGGTTGTTAGCTACATTGGTTATAGACACCCGATGGTTTCTTTATGAAGAGAATAGCTCTGCATGTCAGCAAAACAATAGCCAAGTCAGCTGTGAGAGCACTCACAATGCTGGTAACCATTCAAACACGTGTGCACCATCACTGAGGGTTGGCAGCTGACTTACCAGGAACCATTCCTGCAAGAGTTGATGTTGGGTAGCTGCCTTGTCCAGTTGGGGGAACATGGGGTGGGTAGCCAGGCAAGGTGGTGCTTGCCATATCACGACCTGGAAAGGGAGAGAATCAAGACAGGTGATCAATACAGATAAGATCTTTCCATATTGATTTGGTATCACCTCTTGTCCCACTGTCACAAAACTTAATAGGCAACTATTGCACATACTTCTCTTACATGAATTCTGTCCATCCACTGAAAATTCTGGGTGAAGATTGGGGCGCTTTTGATCTCACATTGTAAGGATGGATCTTAAAAGTTAGCTTTGATGAAGCTCAAAAGAATTTGGTTTATTTCATTGTAGATTTTGGATCTATTTTAACTAAATCAAAATGGCTCTGATCTGCACAGAGAATGGCAGCATATTCATTGCCAGAGTAGCTGAGGTCCTGTCTATATGCAGTGGATGCAGTTCCAAAACTGTGGTGATGTTGCTTTAGGGCGTGATCAATGTGCAAGGCACTGGGAAGTGATCCAAGAGTTTTCTGTGCCTTTCTCTCTTCCCATTTTTGCCATTCACCTGCTGATGGTTTTAGGCAAGTGACTTTACCTCTCTGTGCTTCTTTTTTTGCTGCAAACTCTTTGGTGCAAGGGCACACTTTTAGTACATTAGCACAGTGCATAGCATAAGACCAATACTGGTTGGACTCCTTCCAGGTGCTGGTGTACTATATATAATAATAGGATCATGCAAATTAGCTTGAGTCTCACTTCATTTTTATCACAGGTACGAGTTTTTGTTTATAGTTCTTCAAGTTGTGATTTCTTTTCACCACCAAAGAAGTAGAGAGGGGTGTGGACTGGGTGTATGATTGTAGTTTATTTTTCCTCTCTTAGGAAGTGCAGCTGGGGGCTTCTTGGTTGATGCCAGAGGCATTTCCTCATTTGGACTGGTTAGCCTGAAAATGGGCCAGCCAGAAGGGCATTTGCTGTTAGTGCTTATTGCATTTAAATGAACTAAAATAATCTCAGAAGCTGCCGGGAGTTTCAAGCCAAAGCAAAACAAAACAAACAAAGAAAAACAAAACAAAACAAAAAGCTAAATAAATTAAGATAATCTTTCCCCCACAGCTGCTGAGAGATTTACAGCTCAACCTCCAACACTGCCTACTGAGATGTTAGCCTGTTCCAGGCATCGAAAGCCTTTCACATTCCCTAGGTGAACTGTAGCTCACCAAGAAGTTTCTGCTATTTGTTGTTCTTTTGTTACATTTGTCTCTCCTGTCTGTTCTAACTGGAGGGCAAGAGTCTGATTCCCCTTTAGGAGTGACAGGTTAAGTACAGCCCATTAACACCATTGGAGTCAGCCGAGCCATGCTGGGATATGCCAATGAAAGAAGAAGTAGCATTGGTTTAGCTCTACGACCAGCAGAATGATAACTGATAAAAGCAGGCCCAGGAAGAAGCATGAACCTTGGCTGGGGAATCAGAAATAATTAACAGTTACAAGGCAAAGCAAAAACTAATAAGCATGGAACATTAACCTGAAGGGAGGAAGTTTCTCTGGGATGAGGTAGGCTAAACCAGTGTCATTGCTTTCACAGGTCTTGAGTAAAGATTACTGAGGTGATTTACTCAGGAAAACAGAAATGCAAGTCCATTTTTCTCCCTGAAGAGGTTCCTGATCAGTGGCTGATGTTCCATGCTTACATCCTCTTAGACAACAACTGAGCCATTTTCTAGCCACTCCCCAATACTGACAAAAATGAATACATTATGTATCAGGGATTAATATTCCACACTCTTTTACACTTTTATCACCATCATTCCTTCAGTGATTTGTAGCTGTATGTTAAATGGTATGAATAACACCTAGTAGATGTAGTTATTTTTTTCTCTCTTTGGTTTAAGGCAAGAAATTTTTATGCTTAAAATTCTTGTTCTTTAGTTTCATTTATTGACTAGCCTGAGAAATAACAAGTGATGAGTGAGAAAACGGTGTCATTGAAAAGTTAGAGATAACATTGTAGCTGCAGGCAAAATTAATTCATTTTGACACTTTCATTCAGGTGGGATCACATATACACTACTTGATGTGTGCACATATGCCCCTGTGTTTTTATTCAGACATGAGCACACAGAGGTTGAGGTTCAAAACTGAGCATGGAAAATTTGTTGGGAAGTGATCATCTGTCAAAATCCCAGTCTTGAGAAAGAAGATAACAGGCAAGTACTGTATCAGTAACATCAGTAAGAGTCTCACAGAGAAACTCTTAAAATGCTGTTACATACAAACAAGCCCCTTCCTCCTCTCATTACAAACAGGTAGACAGGATTATTAAATTCTTGTACTGCAGGGCTATTGCAAATTTAGCTCATAACATGCTTCCAACTGCAGCTGTTCTTCCTCCTGCAAGAACCTTCTGAGTGAGGAACAGAACCTGAATCAGTGTGACATTATTTGCACTTCTGAACGCTTTTTCCCATGTCCAATTCCCTATAAGAGTCCTAAGGCACGTGCCTCTTGAGAAACACAGTGCCTTCTAGGCTAGAAGATGGTCATAGAGAACAATATCCCCAAATAACTGTACTGTTGAAGAGAGTCAGGAGACTTCTTGGCTTAGGAAGTGCCCAGAACTCAGAGGCTATTACTGGCTGCAGTAAGGTGGGACTAAGACAGTCTTATGAACATAAGTCTTCTCTGCTGTTACTTGCTGTTTTCCTACATAGAGGTTTAGAAATGGAAATCTCACATGACAAGACAAAGGAAGGATATTAAGTCAAAAGAGAAAGATAATACAGGAACATGAAGGAGGCAGAGGTAAGATAAGTTTCTTGAGTATTAGGAACTGTGGTCTGCACTAAGACTTGTCTGTTCTGAAAAAGTCCAGATTACATCCTTTGAAAAATGGTCAGTGTTCACCCAAGATGATACCCGCTATTTCACCCAAGTCACCCCTGAAATTCTGCAGCAATGTTGCTTCTGTCACCTTGCTCAGGAGTTTCCCTTAATACCTACCTGATATTTGACCTTTCTCCTCATCTTTCCCTCCTGCCTGCTGTTCATAAATACTGCCATCTTCTGCAACCTATTTCTTCACTTCTGCTCTCCCCTTAAAGGCCACCTACCTCAGCTCTGTATTCCTTTGGTTGTAAAACACCGTCTCTCACACATCCTTCCTGCTCTTGACATTCAGACATGATGCTGGGTTTCTTAACTGCTTGGTCTGCTGTGTGAAGGCACCAGCTCACATTGACACTCCCAAACCAGGTGACTCCAATACTGCTCACAGCACAGCTCTAGCAGTGCTCACCAACTGCCCATGTCTATCTGACTTTATAGCTGCAACCCATGTTGAACAAGCCAGGCAGGCCTAGAGCTGGCTGGGATCTTGACATTGCTGTCATTTACCTTAGGCTAGCACACCGTATTCTGTGCCTGCAGTACTCAGGGACATTATGGCTATTGAGGCAACACAGAATTTTGCTATTTGCATGTTTCTAAACTAGGTCCCAAACTCAATCCAGCTGGGACACCCAGCGACTTTTAGGTAGTTACAGTTTCTTTTCCCATTTTATTCTAAAAATGAAGGACAGGCATGAAAGCTTTTTGATTCTTCGTGGAGCTGAGAACATATGCTGCAGATGCAGACCTGGAACGTGGTTGCTCTGGTTCCCACTTGCACTCAAAGAGCTTGCAGCATTTACTGGCCTCCCCGTCAGACGAAACTGAACCCCTTGCCTACAGCATCCCCACTCAGTTAGTGGCCAAGGCCGGTTACCTGCTATCAGAGGCTGGCTGCTGGACTGCCCAAAGTGGGCACCATGATGAAGGAAGGCACTGTAGCAAGGCGTGGACGCATCGTCTGAAAGGGCCATGTGGAAGGGCTGAAGATCAGCCTGCCCAGAGCCGACCGGCGTGGTGGGGGTGAAAGGGGTGAGAGAGGCTCCATGAGGCTCTTGCTTTATACTGAGGGGAGAGGAGAGGTTTTCTGTGGTAGGGTAAGGGATGGACACAGACAGACAAAGGGAACAGGGGAAGGAAGAGGAGGGTGGGGAAGGGAGGAGAGGAAGAACAAAATGGGTAAATGAAAATGGAGTGGTTAAAATCTACAGGGAAATTAATTTTAAAACAAAAATAAAAATAAAAAGGCTAGGAGTAGATCAGAGGAGCCAGTGCTGAGACAACAGCAGTAAATGTGCCTGGGGGCTAGGCTCGGACTGCAGGAATGCCTCTGCGGGGCAGCAGGAGATGAGGGGAATGGAGTGCAGTGGCAGAGGGAAGGAATGGGAGGCAAGAAGAGGAGAGGTGAGGGAGGGAACATGCAGGCAGGGGAAGACAGGAACAAGCATAGGATTGGGAAGAAGAATGCTCTGAAGCTTTTGTGCTCCCTTTCCTGCTGCTTTTCTTTCTGGCCAAGGGCATATGAAGATGCTGCACTTACACAGTTTGACTCAAGGAATTGCACCACTTTTTCTCTTCAAACCCAAGGTAACCTTCCTCAGGAGAGTAGCCTTGCTATAAGCATCTATTAAACAGATTGCTGGGTGTAATGGCCAAAGCTTCTCAAGCCAAATTTTTAAAAAGTTTGACAAAAATGGTAGAGCTGGAGTTTGAGGTTAAAATAGGTGTGTGCAATTAATACGTGGGTAGACAGATGGATCAATCAATTGATCTTGTTCACAGTAGCACATTTTGGAGATTTAACTATAAAAGCAGTCAAGGCTGACTCTGTTTGTTTCCAGAGTGTAGTTTTGCCAGATAGATACCTTGACAGAGAGACATAATGGAAGAGAGGAAATGTGGGGGACTTACAAAAGGTCTGATTTTCATTGTTGTTTCCATTGGGCCTCCCATTTCTGATGTACAGATTTTCATAGGCACAATAGATTCAGCTTTGCAACTGAACTTGGTCCTAATGTGTCTGCCAAGTAGGATGTTTGAGAATTGGAGAATTCTGTGACCTAAAGCATGGGTACTCCAGAACACCCACTGCTATTGGGTCAGCAGTAATACAGTCCTGTATTTGGACACCTGGATGATGTGATCAGATCCAATCCAAATTAACTAGCAAACCATCCATCCTCACGTAAACAAATTCAAGCCAATAAATGAAAGCTGTCTCTCTGCTGTGATGGCAGCTATTGCCAATGGACTATGAAATAAGTTAGTTCTAGTGGTTTTGATTTATACAGAGAAATAGAAATGTGACATATAACTAGGTTATATATCTGACTTCATTAATGTAGAACTGGCTTAATTAACTTTAGGCACCTTGTTGCAATGTTGTAGTGCTCACCTAGACAATAAAGGGTTGGGCAGTTCCTCTCTGTGAATGCTGTTTATCCTGAGATATTTGTTTCCTAAAGATTTGCTACCTGGCAAAAATGATAGTTTGCCATCTGTGTTCTCCTCCAAGAACTTCTAACATGGGTGGCCAGCAAAGGTCTCTCATCATCAAGACTGCTTTGCAGCAAAGACACATGCTCATGTTTCAATTAATTGGGAAGGATCAGTCCTGGCCAAAAGGGATACACTTCCTCTTAATTTAGTTTACTAGGTGAGGTCACTGGTATGCTAAGTGAGGATCATAGTTTCTTTTCCCTTTTTGCTAGGAAGCTCTGTCTGGCAAGGACCTTTTGTGAAGGATATGGGGAATTAAAGTTGGAGTATCTGTGTTTTGTTTTACAGTTACAGAGTAGGCAGCACATCAGCACCCAGCTTCTGCTTTTTACAACCATATGCTGTCCTACTATCCCACTAGTGAGCCTTCATGTGCCAGAGTCAGTCTCCGTAGATCAAGAACTACCCCCAAGCTATTTTTCTCCTGCATCCTCTGTCATCATATGGCAAGGAATGCACAGATTTACTTTCAGACCAAGCAGGCAGTCACCACCAGCATTCTGGGAGTGCTTGAAGCCTTTATCCAAATAATGTTGATGCAAGATAATTTGGATGAATAGACCTATCCGCAGGCAGAGGGCCAAAAGTTCCCTGGGCTTTCACAGGCTGCGAGTGAAGTGAGATTTTTCAAGGAAGCGATTTGACAGTGATATGTAAATAAACAGGGGAGACTTCTGTCCTGGGCATTTTCCATACTCCTTTTTCAACTCTCTTTATTATACAAGACACAGCAGGTGTGGGGAGCTGCTGAGGAGGAAAGGGCAGAGAATAAGGTGGACATGGAAGCATGGGTGGGCAGAAGCAAGAGGTGCTATGGGCAGGGGTTAATCCTGTTTGCACAGCCCCCAGGCACGTTGGGTTTCCTAGCCCTTCTGCTTTATTTCTCTTTTAAAGCATGGAATTTTCAGCTATAATCCTTCCTAAACCACAGCATTTTTCAGGCGCTCTGTGTAAGTGAAACCATAATCTCTGGTAAAACAGACCGCTTAAGCTGCTGTAGCATTAGGCCAATCTGATCCAGCCCCTGGATTTCCGTTCTGCCCAGCCACCACAGAGAGGATTTCAGCCTGAAAGACTGTGTAAAGCCCTTGCAATGGGAACAACAGTGCTAGGCCTTGCCTTGCAAAGCTGGGAAGGGTTAAGGGACCAGGAGCTATTTGTCCCGATGTTGTGAGGCTGTTAACACCCCTGTCAGACTCACAGTGGAGATGAGCCCAGCCCTCTCTTGAACACATCAAGGCTTATGAAGAAAAATTCCTCGCACCTTGCAGAGGCATCGCCACTTACTCAGTGTGTGGGAGGATAAAGAAGTCAACAGTAACATGGCAAAGAGACTTGAACACAATAATGCTAAACACTCTTCTCTCTAAGAATAGTGGAAAAGAGGCGAGGATAAGGTCAGACAGCGAATGATTGCACAACCAAAACTCAGACTTTTATGTGTCTATTTATCTGTCTATCTTTCCCTCTACACTCTGCAACTGCACAGAAATAATTTATATCCCATGTATCTTTACTGATAGATGACATTTACCATTTTTTACTCCTTTGTTGTCCAACTCTCCACTGACTAAAAGCACCTGAATTCTGTCTCTGGTATAACTCCTGCCACTGCTATGCTGGAATAATTACCCCAGCAGTGAATTATAGCTCCAAAGCATGTCACTGTATACGAAATCAATTGATTGATCTATATATCTATCCACCTGTGAATGGCACAGTCCTATTTTTCATTTTAAGCAACTCAAACTTCAGCTGCATCTTTTATGTTTTCAATTTTGATTTTCTCCATTCTCTAATTCTTTCATATTTGTGATGGAGAATTTGCCCCTGCTGATCCCAAGTCCCACTGCTGCCAGCAAGCTGTGGAGCAGTGCCATTTTGGCTTGTCTGTGTTTTGTTGGGAGTGTTCCTCAGTAAAGCTCCTTCAGTGAATCCCAAGGTATATCTTGCTTCTAAGGCTGGAATACCAACCTGTAATCAAATGGTAAGGGAGTGGAATGAGTTTGCAAACCCTTTCCAAAGCAGCAGAAATCTATTCCTGCCCCAGTCTCCTTTTTTCTTCTAAAAGTCAAACAGTATCCTTGTTTATAGGTGACAAAAAAAATATCACCCACTGTCATGGTGAGGGAAACTTGAAAGTCAGCAGGTTGGGGATATAGCTGGAAACATAGCAGAGGACAACATTTTGTGAATCACCTACTACTCTCTTTTTGACTGTACTTTCTGAGTTATGGTTGTTTTTCTTCCATTCTAACCCTCTCCTCTGTTATTTTGGCGGAGAGCAAGAACTGGTGATCTCTAGCCTAAATTCCTACTGCGAATGAAGGGATTTTGGCCAGACAGAGTGAGAGGAAGATTCACAGCTTTGGATTCCTATGGAGACTCATCTCAGCTTTTATCATGGTCTCTCCTGCTGAAGGGAAGGGAAGCAGGGTGGGAGGTGGGTGGATGTTGGTTGCAGGACTAGATAAGCTGCTTGTTTTTCATTGCCAGTTTCCTGGAGGATAAGCTGTCTGCATTCAGTGCTCCTTTTCTTTATAGTACACAAAGAATACCAAGATGGCACATCCATGCACGGGGGATGTCTTTTAAACACCTGCTCAACACTGCTTACCATCTTGACAATGTTTCCCATTCTTTGTCTTTTCCTGAGGTCTCTATCTAATGTTTGTACGACCCCTGTGCCCCACCCTTTACAACACAAATCCTTACAGCATTACTTAGGGATCACTCTTTTATCTGTGAGGAACTGAGCCCAGAGAATACTCAAGTTCGTGTAGGGACCCTGTGCCAAAACTGAATCTTATCTCAGGTATTTTGGATTCTATTCTTGTACCCACCTCTGAAACATCTTTTTTTGTATTTATGTTCTCTATTCCTTAGAAAAGTTTCATTGTGGTAAACAGAATGGGACTGGGTCATCAGAACTCATGGACTAGTGAGTTTACACTACTGGCAGTGGAGTTACATCACTTTCTCCCATGTGGGAATCTTGCCTCCAATTCCAATAGCCATACAAAAGAGCAGACAGGACTGTCACAGCATATTGTTTGCTTTGGCTTACTGTCATATCAGAAGAACCACTTTTTCTCTTCTTAGTTTCCTAGGATTTCTGTTGCAAGAGCATTTTGAAAGTTGCATTGAGAATAAATACTGTCTGTTTTTTTATCTTCTCTGATCATAACAGAACTTTGCTAGAAGAACTTATAGGTGTGCCAAGATTAACCTGCTTCTCAATATACCTTTTTGTCTTCCTAGTGACTGGAGAGTGAGCCTTGTGTGTTTAGGTTTACTTACTGTTTCTGCACACATTCACCCATGTTCTTACCCCATTACATTGTTGAGTACATGTTTAAAGAAACAACCTTGGACTGCTTTCCCCTAAGAGTCAAGGCTGTTGTGACATCACATCCCTTGTCAAATTTTGTAATCTATTTGCTGTGTTTTTTTCATTAAACAGAATCTTATAAGTCTAGATTTTATGTCTGATGCTTTCCAAGTAAACTGACCTGCTAACTACTTTGAAGAGAAAATTTTATATTCTTCATACAGAGTAAAACATGGAGCTTCCAGTAGACCTGTGAT